AGGCAGATCAACCATACACTGCCAGATTCAAACATATGTTGAAAAGCAACAATTAAAAAAGTTCTCCTTGTTCTAACTTGATATCAGTTCAACATTGAAAAACAGTAATAGGGTATCTTCACTTCAGTCCTTTGTCAAGCTATGTAAATATAAATGTAACAACCTGTAATACACACTAGGGGGCGCAGGTTATCTATACCTAGAACAACAGCTGGAGCCTTCAAGGACTCTTTTAAGAAATTGGCTTTTTTGTAAGGATGCAGTTTCCAGGTGTTGAATTTAGATAATTTGGGATTAATAAGTTTCTACATATGAACTCCTCAGACTTGGTGGGTATTAAATACAAGTTAAAAACCATTTTTTCTTAGTTTCCCCTAAGGTTTAAGTAGAAGTTTCATGGATGTTTTGGCAAATTTAGATTAGAAACAAATAGAATCCAAATAAACCATCATTTGTGGCAAGGACCTTGTTTTAGTGAGGAACCTGGCACTTGGCAAGACTTAATGTTTATCCCATGCACATACACTGTTGCTTTATTTTTTGTCACTTTCCCATGCAGAATGGCCCTCAAGACGGCATCCAAGAAAATAACATAATGAAAATAAACACTTTATACAGTTTAACTAATTCACCCTTAACACTGATACCAACAACCTTGGTACAGAGCATCTCAGCTCTCCATTAAAAAAAGGCAGGAGAGAAGGTGTGGTTTTTAAAAAATTAATTTTTAATATAGTAGGCCTGGTATATCTTTCTAGGAAGGAAGTTTCAAAGTTCTGGAGCAAGGGCTGAAATAATTGTTTCTAACAGAGGACAACCTCCCTGCCAATATTAGTAGTATTAATGAGAAAGCTTAATTTATCCTTTTTCATTGAGGCTTGCATAGGTAAGGGTAAAAGTAAGCCAATATGGGCCGGTATCAGTAAGGAAGTGGCTGAAATTGATCTCCCATCTTTTCCTTTGAGCCCCCCTGCCAAGAGGTAATACAGGTACGACATTACCCACTACACATAGGAGCACTTCCTAGTGAATTTTACTGTGTGGTTCAACCCCTCTCACACTATGCCTACTTTATCAATATCGCAAATCTGCCTCACCCAAGATTGCTGTTTCCCCTTCAGTTATGGTGAAGCCATTTTCAGTCAGCCTTGAAGATTTATCGTTCTGGCACGCGTCCAGAAGTACAAACAGCTCAAAATGCGCTATACCCCTCATTCACGATGGCTGTTAGGTTCAGAGACAGTAGCACTGTGACATAATAACACTGTGACAGCAAATTCAGCCATAATGTGATGAACAGAATAAAGGAGCTTCAACACAGATGCAAATCTCCCATCTTCTGACAAGGCAAGTGTAACTTACAAATTAAACATTTGGTCGGGAAGATCTTTAGCATCAGCCTTCTAAAGCACAGCCCATTCTCTTCGAAGTTGGGCTAATTTGGCTGATAAAAATTGCAGCTACCTTGGGCAGCTGATTCCTTCCATAATGCTGCCAAAACCAAGGTCTAGGCAAGTGTTCCTTTTCATCAGATGCAGAGACACTGAAACCCATTTTGAGTTGTAGAATATGTCTATCAGGAGAACGAAGCACCAGATGCTGACACTTTAGGGATTTCATCTTGGCCCCTCACAAGTTCTCAGGAAATTGCTACAGGATCAAACAGTTAATGATATCCATCCAGTAGCAGATGGAGAAGAGAAGAGATTGGATTTATACCCCGCCCTTCACTCAGAGTCTCAGAGTGGCTTACAATCTCCTTTCCCTTCCCCTCCCCAAAACAGATACTCTGTGAGGTAGGTGGGGCTGAGATAACTCTTTTGAGAACTGCTCTTTCAAAAACAGCTCTGACAGAACTATAGCTTGCCCAAGGTCATCCAGCCAGGTGCAAGTGGAGGAGTGGCCATCAAACCCGGTTCTCCCAGATTAGAGGCCATGCATTAACCATTACACCAAAACTGATCCCTTGTCTGAGAGGGTCTTCTGTTTTGCTTCCTTAATTCCTCTTGCAGAAACACATGTACAAGGCACAACACCTTTGAATGATTCTCTAAAATTCTGATTGGCATTAAAAACACACACATTACTTTTCGAAAGAACCATTTAAAAAAAATGGTTTTACAAGCTATTGGCCTTATCAAGAAAACAGCACAAATCCTTGAAGAGAAAACAGAATGATAATGTATCTCCTATGTACTCCCCAAAAGAGATAAAAGGATGGCCTCTGCCTGATGTAAGATTGCTGACAAGATCTGAAATCACAGCCCTGGCATATGTGCCCCCACCTGCTGGAATAAGGGGGAGTGCCATGGAGAGGGACTTCTGTTTTGACACCTCATCTGTGGAATTCTTTCCCCTTCATCCATGTTTAGGGCACCTACCATAAGTTTTTTGAACCAACATTCTTTTTCTTAAGATTTTCAGAGGCCTGCCCCTTTTATGTTCATTGGTTTTAATGCTCTTTTGAATTATATTCTCTCTCTCTCTCTCTCTCTCTCTCTCTCTCTCTCTCTCTCTCTCTCTCTCTGTTCAGTTGGCAAAAGCTATTGAATGATTTGGTTTAGTACATTTTTAGCCAGCTGGGCTTATTAATTTTTGTGTGTGCATCTGTTGTGTGACTTTGTTCATGTATTGTTTTGTATGGAAGCTGCTTCAGGAGACTTTGCTGATGAGGCTGGGTGTAGCTATTTTAAATCAATGCATACCCTCTCCTCCCCCATTTTTTTAGAGAGCAGTAGCTCAGCTAAAACACAGGTTTTTATATTTGTGGTCTAAAATGGTACCTTCAAGTTGCTTTGACTACAACTGTCATTTCTGTGCAGTAGCAACATTGTCAAAAGGCTTCCTATAGCTTCACACCATTTCACAGCAGACTTAACTGGATAGTCACAGTCTGTGTTCTGCTAGCAATAATCTCATTATTTCGTTGTCATAGTTACCATATAAGTGAGCCTTTTACGTTTTGCTTTCACAGAGCAATATCCTTTAAATTATTACCTTGCTGAAAGCTGTCAGTAGAGTTCTGTTTTCTGCTTGTTGTGGAGTGATTTCAGTCAACGTGTGGTGTGCTATTTAATATTTTAAATGTCAGTTTAACCTTTGAATTGATGCCAAGAATCAACATTTTGCATGGAGCTGTTTCCTTTTAAATAGCATCACATAGCAAGGAGGTGAACATACAGAGAGAAAAGCCAGACGCCCACAATTGCCCAAGGAGGAAAGTCCTAAGGAAAGGATGAGTAGAAAAGGAAGATAGGGAGCGCTGTGGAAGAGGATACAAAAATCAGAACCGGTACGAAGGGGCAAACAAATAATGGGAACCCTTATATAGAGGCCAATGGAGATAAAAGAATGCTGACTGGGGAGAAGCACCCAGGTGAGAAACAGCAAGGAGGGTGTTTGAACCTACCAAAGGCAGGGAGGAGACTGGAATAAGGCAAAACTGCCCTTTGTCTCCATGATAAAGAACAGGCCTCAGAGGGCTTGAAAAGAGAGTCAGAGGTCATTTCGGGGGGGATTGCGGGGGATCGCAGTTCCCCCGGGTGAGGTACGGGGGGGCTGGGCACATGATGAAGCCCCGCCCCCTGCTTCCGGCCGCCCCGCTTCCAGCCCTCATTCAGCCAGGAGGCAGGAGAAGAGGGAGGGAAAGTTGCCTCTCCCCACCCCTGCCTGCCTGGGGCCAGGGAGGGCCTTCGCGGGGCTTCCTTGCACTCCCACCGGCCTTGCAGGTCCACCGCCGGGCCCCTCATGGGGCTCGGCAGTGGAGCTGCAAGGCCAGCGGCGGCGGCCGGGACCATTGGGGGTGGGGTGTGTGGCCTTATGACACACTTCCGGTGATGTCAGGGGGTGTGGCATATGCTAATGAGTTATGCTAATGAGTTCCCCTAGCTCTTTTTCTACGAAACGACCCCTGAAGAGAGTTCTTTGTTGCACTGAGAAAGGGGTTGTACTGATTTCATGAGTGCTATTGGTACAGAAAGAGATGGGGAGCTGGCAGTTCATGGGGACAAGAAAGCTAGGTGGGAAAACAGAAGCATGGTTCATAGGCAGTTTTGCACAATTTGTCAGCCTCATTCTCTTGTTGTTCAGTCGCACAGTCGAGTCCGACTCTTCGTGACCCCATGGACCAGATCACACCAGGCCTTCCTGTCTTCCGCTGTCATTCTCTAGGACATCCCATGTATTTCTGTCTTTCAGTGCAAGCAAATATGGGTTGCCAAATGATGCAGCTTGTAAAATGTTAGCTGTAAACAATACTGCACATTGTGTCAATCCTGCCTGTTGTATTTTTGTATCTTGAGTGGTAGTTTTCTACAGATCCAGTATTATGGCAACAGACTGCATGAGATGCAGCAACTGGGCAAAACAAAGCAGGTATCAATGCCTGTGTCTGCTTACAAGCTTTGTTTCTTCCAGAGATGTGAACATACATAAACAAAACATACAAAATAAAGGCTATGAAATGGATCAATGCAAACAAGCAGTTGATTCCCACTGTGGGCCGAGAAGCTGCAAAAACCAAGCTTGCTTGCAGTGCTGTTTGTGTGTGAGTTTATTGCATGTTGGTCCTCTTCAAGCACCTCAGTTCTGTGAGGATAACACTTTATTATGAAAGTCACTATGCAATGAGAAAATGTTTCAGTCTTATTTATAGTTCTGGCATTTACAATGCTTTTGATAATTCTTTTATTTCTTTTTTAGAGGGACTTTCCTTTAATCCACAAGTCTTGACATCAGTTCATATGTCACCTAGTCACACAACAAACTGCTTCCCATTGTAAATATTGACATGTAATACTCATGTAATGCTGCCTTTCACAGGGAAATTCCCAGTCCCACTCCATCACCAGATGCTCCTAACGGCACCTGTCAGTTTGGTGGAAACTTTCCGTGCCATCCAAGCACAGAGAGTCAAATTGAGGAAATTCGGTCAGTAACATACAAGCCATTATACACCAAAAATGCACAAGAGCTGGACTTAAGATATAAAAGCCATTTAATTCCAAAAAAACATGGTGATGTCAAATCACAGACACAAGCAAATATTGAGCTACACGCACAGAAGAACCGTATGAACAAACACTAAAGTGTTCACATTTAGTACCTGAAAAGACTGCTAATAAAAAAGGAGTCTGTAAGTATTTTATTTCATCTTTGCCCTATAGGTCTCCCTTGATGAATGCCTCTGCCTACATGAGCGCACAGCAAGCCAGAGGAAGAGTCCCAAGTGCAGCATCTAATGCCTCAGGGCTCCAATATTTTAGTCTTCTAAACAAAAGGAAAGCCTAGCCTAGAGTTTTCGGTATGACACTGAAGTAAAGAGTCTTTTGCTTGAACAGTACAAAAATTCCCAAGAAGAAGCAGTCAGCCGCAGCCTATACATTTGTGCTTTGTTCATCCATCTTGGTTTTCCTCACCCTCGGATTCAGATTCTAGGGGGTAAAAGAAGAGAGGGGGGAGATAAAAGTAATTGTTTCCTATTTTTTATGAAATACTACAATAACATATGATTTCTTTAATCAGCCTCAGTGTAGTCAAATGTACTCCATTCCTGGAAAAAGTGTTTGGCTAAAGTGGACCAGTTAGAAATTGATTACCAGCTTGATGCAACAGTAGCAAACCATTAAGCCAGCATAACTCCATTCAGTTGAACAAATTTTGGGTTGGATCCAGTCTCACTCAATTTCCCTCCATACAACAGCCTCCGCTCCACATAGTTTTTGAATATGCAGGTCCTATGCTTAAGCTTATTATAGTCCTTTTGGATGGTCAAAGAGAATGCCTCGAGCCTGTTTCACCAGCATAAAAAGTGGTTGGCTCTAACCCAGTGAGACCTAACCCATAATGGGTAGTGTGGCATAGAAACTTAAATTGACACAGAGAAAGGGGAGAGTGGGCAGGTGGGTGGAACAACAATTGAACACACAGTTCAATTAGTACTGTGAAGACTGATGTACCTTTTCACACAGTTATCATATTCCCACACAATCATGGGAATGTGCCAAATGGTGATGACTATAATTTTGTTGAGTGTGTCCCAAGATTAAAACAGAAACTAGCTTCTGGTGTGCCACAAAAAAACTCCACACTTGTCAGAGGAGCTTTAGTGGTACGTCAAAGGCAAATGGGGGTGAATGTGGTGCATGGCATCAGTGTTCACAGCTGAAGCAACTGGAAAATCAGCCTAAATTGGCTCTAGCCTGAAGCTGCTGCAAGATGAAAGAGTTGGGTGAAAAGACCCCCTAGACACAATGATGTAACCTTTAAACTCCCATTTTTAAACTCCCATTCTAGTTCATGAATTAGACCCAGACTTTTGGGCAGACCATCCACCCAAGTTTCTCCAACATCTCTTTGAAACAAGGGCCCTAATCTGCCTTATACCTTCCTGTTACCACAACGGATCAATGCAAGCTTCTACTAAAGAGACAGGAGCCCTTAGGAATCCAGCACTCAAGACTATAGAGGCAGCCTTAGCTATTCTGATCCCACTTTCATACTGAGTCTCTCTCCATGTGCCCCTCCACAGTGCAGACTTAGCAATGTCAACTTGTATCTAATTCCCACAAAAACATATATGTTGTAAAACATGTGGTGTAAAACTCATCATTCCAAGAAAGAAGATTGTTTATTCTGCTTAGGCTTCTTCAGCTGCAGTTATTGTATCTGCCATAGTAAGCAGGACTGATGAGAATTCAACACAAAATGAAACGCCCAAATATTATGTCCATTTAGACTGATAAATAATCTTTCTAATGACATCTCTACAGGATCTTGAATATAAAAACCTATCACTTTTGGTAAAGCATATTTAGCAACCCTAAATAAAGAAACCAAAAAGTTGAAGGAAACCGTGAAGCAATACTAAGCTTAGATTTTGCAGGGGAAGTAAGAGGGAGCTAATAATTACAGTCTGCCAACTATGTAGATGATGACTAATATGGGATTAGGCAGTGGGAAGGGGGCTGCTTAAAGCAGAAAGTAAAAGAGGTTCTTCATGGGAGGTCATGAGATTGTTGGGGGGGGGGACTCTGAGGGTAGGAAAATGCAAAATCCTTCTTAACTTTTGGTGGACTCCACAGTTAAACTGTAAATCTCAAAAATTCCCTTGTCCCAATGAGGAGGTGGCATTTCTTTCTTCTACTGTTTTGCCTTCAAGGCAGATGGAATTTTGTTCATTGACTGGAAACCAGATTTGGCCTTCAATCAACAAGCCTAATGGATGTAGACAGACTTGTCCATGTGAACTAAAACCCACGGAACCACTTTAATTGCTTCAGCTACTTAGGTTTGTCCAGTAGGGTGTTTTGTTGTTTACTTATACGTCTTGAACTACTTAGTTTCACAAAGATGTTTGCCATGAGACATGAAGAACTGCTGACTGAGAAATAAGCCCACTGGAGCACTTGCCATATGTCAACGTATGAAACTAACCTATACTAAATCATACCATTAGTCTATCTAGCTCAATATTTTCTGTTGTGCCTGACTGTGGCTCTCCAAGGCCTCAGTCAGAGAAAGTTTTTTCCCAAGTCCTACTTCCTTAATGGTTCTGTGAAGACCAAGGATTAGAGGTGTGGAAAAAAACCCCAGTATTTTTCAGGTTCAGGTATATTGAACCCGAAAAATATTGGTATTTCCTGATATTCCCAAATCCAAATATTGTTATGGTATTTGAATTCAGGATTTTTTCAGGAATCCCAATTTTTTTCAGCTCCATTATATCCTATGAAGACCAGTTTCCATGGGGTATAATGGGGAATGAATCTGGGGATATATGGGGTCTGGTGGAGACGTTTTTTGAGATAGAGGCACCAAATTTGCAGCATAGCTGCTGGCTCCTCTCCTCAAAATAACCCACAAGTTTAAAAAAGATTGGACTAGGGGGTCCAATTCTATTGGCCCCCCAAAAAGGTGCCCCCATCCTCTATTGTTTCCAATGGAGGGGGGAAGGCTTGTAGTCCCTTTAAATGCCTCCTCCAAGCTGCAAGCTCACCCAGGAGGCACTTAAAGGGGCTGCAGTGCCTTTAAATGCCCTTCAACTGTGGCTACGCAGCAGTCCCAAAAATCCTGAATATTTTTGGGATTTTTAAGGTTCAGCTATGTCAGATAGCCGAAAAGATACTTGTGTATATTCAACTGAAAGAACATCAGTATTTTTTGGCTATTTTTCCAGCTTGGATAGAGTTGAATGAGCACCCCTACCAAGGACTGAACTTGGGACCTTCTGCATGGAAGATGTGTCATAGCATTGAGTCATGGCCTCTTCCTTGCAATGGAACTCCCTTTGAGTAAGGGTTGTTCTATTCTCTTGATCAATCAGGATCAACAGGGATATCCCCAGAAAGCTGTTTTTAGCACTGACATGATTGCAGTATCCAATATACTGAAGCAGAATTTTTGTCCTGTAACCTGGTCTCAGTGCTAAAAAGAATAGGCCAGTATTCCATAAGCATTAAGAAGTGTGCTTAGCATAGCAACCCAAATGGCATTTAATAAATAACCAACCACTTACACTGTAGTATTCTCCCCATCCTGACCCCAGTAGGTAAGGCCTTAAGCCCTAAAAGACTTGCTAACATTTTAGAGTCACAACTCAAAACTGTCTTTATCTAGCTGGTTGTGCTGCTACACTGTAGTGGGCAGAATGCCACATAACCATTGTTGGCATTTTGCAGTAAAAGTGGTCACCAGAGGTTCTCGAATGGTGGGAAATAAAGCCAGGAAGTGCAATGGGAGGTCCAGTGGCACAAGACAACTGCTGTGAGTTTCAGGAAAAATGGCAATCCAAATAGCTGATAACAGATTTGCCAAGAAACCATAACATTCCAATAGTCATACCTTCTTCAGCATTCTGTAACCACTCGACAAACTTTTTCATCTGGTCAAGGAACACACTTTTTCCTTTGGCAAGATGTGCCTCTTTGTACCACTTCAGGATGGCTTCTTCACTTAGGACATCAGCTGTAATTCAAAACCAGGGAAAATCAATAGATTACAAAAAAATCATTTTTTAAAGTGCTGCACGTTTTCTCTGGCAAAAAAGAAGCAATAACACTACTTGATATTAGGCTGAAACTTGAAACAAAATAATTAAGGGAAAATTTAGCAGCATGATTAATCAATGCTTACATCATTTCATATAATGTAAAATAATTTTGTGGCTGATTGCAAAATAAAAAAAATCTAGCAATTCAAAGTATTCTAGTGTATTGGAATATAAGAATTGTCATCAAAGGTCAACCAGCTGTCCATCTGGCCAGGTCCATCCAGTTTCTGATGGAGGTCATCGGTTCCTGAAAACATAAATACTTCTCCATGGTATTGCAGATATTTAGTCACTGAACATCAAGTTTGCATTTCTAGCTTCTGTGGCTAGTAGCCACTGAGTGGTTTATTCTACTTTTTTTTTTAAACAAAGCCATTCCTATTAATGGTCACCACCACAAGCTGTGAGACTAACTCCTCAGTTTCAGGGACTGTTCTGACATACAGAGAAACCCTAGATGGAACTTCTTTTATATGGGAATCTGCCTCCTCAGAAATAGATGATTTCTGTGCAATATGAAAAAATTGAAGCATTAATCACCAGTTAATAGTGACACAGCCAAAGTCCTCCTTGTGTTTTAGAGTGGCATCCTATGCAGTTATACCCTTTTAAGTCAATGGGCTTAGAAGAGTGTAAGGCCACTTTCGCATTGTCATTTTTGTCACTTGTTTGTCTGTATTGCTTCAGGGTTTTCCCCACCCAATGTGTTTTGCTGTCTAGTAGTTCCAGAGGGAGGGAAACACATGTGGAAAGGGGGGGGACACAAAGCAATAGAGGCAAACGAGTGACAAAAATGACAGTGCAGAAGTGGCCTAAATCTGCTCAGAGCTGACTCGAAGCAGAACATTAGACATGATTCAGAATGCAGATACAGTGCAGAAAAATGCTATTACATCATTAGATACAGTGTAAAAATGGTATTAGATCAGTAGAAAATAATGCCGGTGCAGCCGAATAATACAGTAAACAGATAATATATCCTGTACAGAGTGGTATAGTTCACAGTCCCTTTCACTTCATAAGTGTCTTTCTGAACCATTTTGTTATGGGATAGCCCTATTACCATTACAGAAATGCCCTCCTGAACAATTATGCTTTGTATAGTTTTCAGAAAGACGGAAGAGTGGGACCTTTCCCGCTCTCCTCAGGCAGGCCATTCCATAGGGTGGGGCTACAACAGAAGATGCAGCATGTCTATGGGCAGCTGTTATCTTGCCCTTGCAGGGTGCTACCCACAGAGGGCTGTGCTCAGATGGGAAAGATCTCTGAGTAGAGCATACAATTTATCTACACAGGGGATTCACAGAAGGCTACATGAACTGAGTGGCTTTCATGTAGTAAAGTCACCTGTGATGTGGTTGGTTACAGTACAACCCTAAACAGCACTGCACCCTTCTAAGTCCTTAGAAGGATACAACTCTGTTTAGGATTGCATTCATAGTATCTGTTCTCACTAGGGATTAACCTTCTCAGATGAAACACTGTAATTTCTTGGTTTATCAGCGTTTTAAATGCTACAACATTTATTTTAAATTGCAAATAGAACGGTTTCATTCTTAAAGATTTTGTGCTATGTGACGGGTGCTAGTTTTTAACCAAGATCAACAGTCATCTCTTTAGCAGTGATTGAGATTGGAAAACAATGACTCAAAGATACATGTAGAATATTGTATTGCATGAATGTAAAGCTTGACTATCACAGAGCACCAGGACCAGATGGGCAGCCAGCCCCAGGGAGCAAACTGCCCTGCTGGGCTCAGCTATTTAAAGGGGTTTTCTTGGGCATCTAGCCCTTGGGGCTAGCTGTCCAAGAAAGCCCTTTTAAACAGCTGAGCCATGGAAGTAGGCGCCCCTGGGGCTCAGCTGTTTCCAGGCTAAACAACTGAGCCATGGGCTCCCGCAGCTGTTGTTTAGATCAGAAACAGCTGAGCTGTTTAGAGCCCCTGCAGCTCAGCTGTTTCAGGAACAAACCTCAAGAACCTGGTTCGGTTTGTATGCAGCCAACTGCGTTCGTGAGATTCGTGGCTTGCCCACATGGTTTGCCAACAAACCAAACCACTTTTTTGTGGTTCATGCCCATCCCTAATTCTGATTCTGCATGTTGGCTAGGGCTAAAACTTATTTGACTGAGGGCATAAGGACTGGGGCTTTCCTATAAGAATAAGAATGACAAAAAAGGAAAAATCATTGAAGGAGGGAAAGTCCACAGGGAACTATGAAAGCGAAGAACTATGAAAGTGTGCTTAAGAGAAAAGAGGGGACTTTGAATAAGCCAGAAATGTACACAGAAAGGAAACAAAACATGTTACTGGTAGGTACTAAAAGGTCAACTGAATTTCCCTTTAATTTGGAGATATTCTTAGTAATTTATTTATGCCTTCAGTAGTTCAAGAAGGGTAATATTCTCTTGTCAACAGAGAGATGCCCAATTAAGCAATCAGGCAGGACAAGGCACAGTTAATCATACCCTAGGTTGCTTTCTGAAGCACAAGGAACACCGAGGGGAATTTTTATTCAGCTATTTTTGATTAAAGATGATTAAGATGACATTTTAAATGCTGCTGCAATTTTAACTGAACTTTTGTGGGAAGTCTGGGTGAAGCGCAGGGAGCCATACGTGAAGGGGGGGGGGGACACAACAACCTGCAGCTCTAACTCCAGCCACCTGCTATCTGAACCCTGAAGAATGATCACAGAGAAAGAAGCATGAAACAATGAATCGGTGTCTGATGGTGGACAGCCCCAGTTGAAGACGTGTGTCATGGAAATGATTAAACAGTTACCTATATGAATGCAATTACTTGACTTAAGCAATATTGTGTTGGTTGACATGTTTATTCATTCAAACATACATGCATGGTGCTGAAGAATGCAGGGCAAAGCTAGAACCCCTTTAGGATCAGTTAAAGAGCAGGGCTGTAGGTTGGGGTGTGGGAGTAATTTAGTTTTAAATCAGTAAGGCAAAAGTAACCCTGATGGACTGAATGACTGTCCTGGCAAGCCAAGAGACACTTCAATAAAGATATGGATCCTCTTAACAAGGCCTAATCATTCTTTCACATATAGAAAGGCAACAAAAATTCAAGAAGTGTGGAGGAGAGGAGGGAAGAAAAAGCAGCAACTTCTAATTAGTGTCTTAATAAAAAACCTAAAATGAAGTCTGGAAATCTTAAAATCAGAATGCAGGAAATGTTACTGAATATCTTTTTTAAAAGAATAGTGATTTCTAGTCTAGTTGCTGGCCAAATCTTTCTTCAAAAGAACTTACCTATCCCCTCTTTCCTTACAGAAACGTGGGGCAGCGTACACAATTCTTCCCTCTGCCATTTTGTTTTCACAGCAACCTTGTGGGTCAAGTTACACTGAATAAAATATAAGGCAAGTGGCACCTTGAAGACTAACAAAGTTTATTCTAGAATAACTTTCTGCAAGTCAGACTTCACTTCTTCAGATGCCTGCAGTGACTCCATGCATCTGAAGAAGTGAGGTCAAACTTTCATGCTCTGTTGCTGCACCTCCAGAGGAACTGGTTGGCCACTGTGTGAGAGATAGGGGATGCTCATCCTGCAGGCTGTTCTTATGTTCTTGTAGTCAAGGCTTGATTTTTAAGATATGCTAAGCAGCCACTGGAAGGATTACAACCCCTAAAGGTATTGTTTGCAACTCTCAAAGAGCCAGTTGAAGGCAAAAGAGAGACTTGCAGAATGAACCTGCTGTAGACAGAGTAGTGAAGAAAAGGCCATCCTGTGAGTGAGACATAGTCATGGATGATTCACTAGACTGCTTACAGCTAAACTATATGAATGAACCATCTGCATGTCAGGTATACAATATCCAGTTACAGAAATTATTCTAGGATTCCAATATTGCAGAATGGAGGTACTGAAAAACACATATATCAAGATCAAGCCGCAAAGTACTGAATCATTTCCAGCCCGAACTTGATTTTCTGCTTCTGCTGCTTTACAATGGAGTACAAAATAATTTGAAGAAGCTTTTTACCACTTCTGGATGGAGTCCAGTGAATTCTTCTTAGAAGATGCATTCTCAGGCTACTTAAAAGTGGCTAGACAAGCAGTATGGCCATTTCCACAGAACAGGATATGCAGACGAAGGTTTGTGGGCAAGAGGTTGGTTTACATTGCAGCCTTGCATCTTTTGCTACCTGCCATGCTCTCCTGCCAGCATAAAATATTACTCCCCATTAACACCTGCCTCAATCCCCTTCCCCATGCTGGGACATGCAACAGAATACATTCTTTTAAAAAGAATTGCTTACAAGAGCTGCACAGTTGTGTGACTACAGAATAACAGAATAAAAGAAAGAAAGCTATGGAAATGGTGGCAAATATGCTCACTAAAGTATATTAACAAAGAACAGCCAGCATAAGGTGAGGGCTAGGGCAAGACACAAAAACAGTCTTCCTTCATGTGCAGTATGACAATTCCATTGGAAGAGTCCCAGGGTTAAATGCAAGATTTCCACCCACTGATATTTTCTTGTGCTGCAAATGGAGTCAGTATAGTTTTGTGCCTTTTCACTCTGTACATGTTTTCAGGTCCAACTTGCAGCAATACCAATTCCCAGCTGTGCCTCATCCATATTAATGAGCAAGAGGTTTCTTGAAGACTAGTATACACAGCAAGGTGGCATCGTAGTGTGGCGCATTTGACGTCATGTTATAGAATGGCCAAGACAAGGAAAGGATATATTTGGTGATCATCACGCTAAACAATGGTTGAACATATATACCTTTATAAAAGAGCACCACAATCTTCTGAAAGGCTTTCATAAAGTGGATGTTGTCGTAACAGTATTCCTGAACCTTTTGGAGAAGGATCAGCTCCGACTGGCCTTGGGTGCTGAACACAGCCAGCAAAGGTGCATATTGCTGAAAAAATGGGAGGAGAAAATATTTCACTTAATTGGTACTATGAAGGAGATTGGACTATTTCACTTTGTGGAACACACATGAAACTGCCTTAAACTGAATCAGACCATTGGTCCATCAGTGTCAGTATTTTCTACTCAGACTGGTGGCAGCTCTAAAAGGTCTCAAGTAGAGTTCTTCTCCATCACCTACTGCCTGTTCCTTTTTAACTGGAGATTGCACTGGGGATCAACTGCATGTAAAGCAGAGCCTCTTTCACTGAGCCACGGACCCTCCCCTGAAAGAGATGTGGACATATAGCATACTGTTGCCTGTCACAGCTATGGCCTTGAGTACCAGAATCAGAACAGTACAACTGCTGTAGGGCACTCTACATGAATTGGAAGGCTGTAAAGTAAACGGATTAAACTAATTAAGCAAACAAGTTGCACTTTCTTCTATGAAAAGGCAAAAATACTTTTTCTTGTTTTCTAAATGCAGCCATTGGGACTCTCTCTCTCTTTTTTAGGGTGAGGGCTTTTACCATTTCCTCCCCTGCTGGTTTCATGAGAATGGAAAAAATAAATCACTGCCAAGCTGCATTCAAATCTGCTGGTGAAAACTAGTAATTTTTCACAGCAGGGACAAAAGTGACTCAGGGGTGGTACTTTTTCAGTATGAAAATAGCAGGATAGAAAAAGGGTTAAAGATCTCTTCTGTCTTCTCTTTGAACAAAAGAAAAATCCAGCAGCTGCATTTAGGAAAGTGTTTTTAAATGATCACAGTACAAAATGTAACATATAATTTGACCCTTGGAGTCAAAAGATCTGGGTCCAGATATTGTAACACTGTTGAAAGTTTAACTTAGGCACTATGGAGACTGGCGCATAACACAAGCCTTCTCTGCATATGCAAGGTGATTTTTTCATTGGTTACATGTTGTACATTCCATGCAGATGATAAACAAGCGTAATGCATGGAAACCTGTACATGATATGACTGGATCCAAAGGCACCCTTCCTTACAAGAGCAAAATGAAAGTAACCATATAATTTGATTCCAGTCATGTGTTGTTATAGTACAAGCATGCTGTACTTGCATCCATGCACACCTTCAGATGCTTAAGTGCTTGTTCTGCAACTAGCTCTTCCTTCTTGTTCCACTCGACAGCATTCATTATACAAGTCCACAAGAGTCCAATCACTGCTGGCTCCAGCAGATCATTTCTCTTCATTTCTTCTTTTACATAAAGCACCATCTGCAACGAAAGACGCATATTAAAAATATCTTGAACACCTCCTCTTTGATGCAAAGTTCTCCAGTTGCATGCATGTTCCCTGCAACTCTTTATTTGTCCCTGTTGTAAGTCAAAGTGAAGAACTGAAAAAGGAATCAAAAGAAAGCAATCCATTTTAGATAAAAGACTAATTTTCACTGCTCTTCAAACATCAGGCAATAAATATCTATATATCTAATCCTCAACAGTCCCCTCTGCATGTGGATACTTATTTCTGCAGATAGGGGGCACACTCTCCCCCCCAACAGTTTTTTGTACATACTCAGGGGACTCTATGGGTCTACAGAAAAATCCAAAAGGTTAAAAAAAAAAAGCTTGGGGAGGGTTGAATTCCCTCCCAATATCTTTTGAAATGGCTGCCACAGGGATCTATTTTAGAGTCCACTGCATCGACAGTAAGAGGAGACAGACAGACAGACAGACAGAGAGCTCAGGAAGCAAAAGCAGGACTGGATCTGGGATTGGGGCAGGGGGCGGGGTACTTTCCAGGCCTACTTGGGAGCCAGGTCTGGGACTAGGATTGCCTGCTCCATGTTGGGAAATTCCTGGAGAATCTGTGGTGAAGTCTGAGGAGTGCAGAGTTTGAGGAGGGGCAAGGCCTCAGCTGGTTATAATGCCACAGAGTCCACCCATTTTCTCCAGGGGGACAGATCTCTTTTGTCTGGAGTTCAGTTGTAATTCTGGGGGATCTCAGATCCCACTTGGAGGCTGGCAATCCTAGGCCTAGCAGCAGCCTCTGGGTGACTTGATACCACATGACTTGCATGATTCAACTAGGCCTGGCTGCTTGCTACTGTTCAACAGCAGCCACCCTGTAAAAATTAGTGTGGTATAACAGTCAGAGCTTCAGACTAGGGCTTGCGAGACCCAGGTTTAGATACCCATCTTACTGGGTGATTTTGGACCAGTCACATACTTTCAGCCTATCCTACCTCATAGGGTTGTTGTGTGGATAAAAAGGAGGAGAGAATAATGTAGACTGCTTTAGTCCCCATTGTGGAGAAAGTTGATAGTTTACTTCAGTAGAAGCTGCAGGGGTAAAGGAGATGGAAAGCTGAAGACAGAGGGGCAGATAAAGGTAAGTTGGCTGTTGGGTGGGAAGAAGATGGGGATGCCAACTCCAGGTTGGGAAATTCTTGGATATTTGAGGGGTGGAGCCTGGGGGTGGTGGGGATTGAGGTGGGGAGGGATTTCAGACAGATACAATGCCAGAGACTCCACCCTCCAAAGCAGTCATTTCCTCCAGGGGAACTAATATTGCCAACCTCTGGTGAGGGCTGGAGATCTCCTGGAATTACAACTGATCTCCAGATGACAGAGATCAGTTCCCCTGGAGAAAATGGCTGCTTTGAAGGGTGGAGTTTATGGTATTATACCCTGCTGAGGTCACTTCCAAGTTCAAACCTCATCCTCCCTAGGCTCCACCTCCAAATCTCCAAGAATTTCCCAACATGGAGCTGGCAACCCTAAGAGGAACTGATCTTTGTCTTTGGGCAATCCATTGTGATTCCTGAAGAGTGGCTGATGCTACTGCTGCTGTGGGGGTGGGAGGAAGTAGATGGGATGCCGGGAGAGTGACAGGGGCAAAAAGAGTGATGGGGTGGGGACAGAAAGGAAGTGACAGGCATGGAGGGGAGAGACAGAGAGAGAGTAAGAAAAGGGACGGCAGGAAGGAGAAAGCATGTGAGAGAAGTAGGGGGAGAGGGGGAGAAGCAGAGTTGGGGGAATGGGATAGTTGTTCCCGGAAGTTTCTTGCAGGTCCTCACTTGTGTATTTATATTACAGTTCAGTCACAATTAGGAGTGTGCATTCAGGTATATGCAAGCTGAAATTAAACCAGAAATCAGCCATTTGGAGCTGGCTTGGGGATACCCAAAATGACCCAAACACTCAAAATTCTGGGAATAGCAAAAAGTTCTCCCCCAGAATTTCAAGAGATTTTGGGGGTTGGGGAGGGAGGAAGAAGAGCAAGCTAGCCCTGGGGGAACAGCTGTCTCCTGGTATCTGGTCCTTTTAAATTGAAAAGGGATAACTTCCAATTAAGAGCTGATAGTCTCCTGGCCTCAGAGGCCAGGTCTATCCTCAAGGCCCTTTACATTTTTGAAACAGAAACATGAAACACATCCCAGGACTTACTGGGATGGCATTGCTCCACTGGTGGCTTTCCAAGGCCACTGTGCAGGCATTAGTCTAGATGGCAGAATCTGCCCCAACCCCCAGCAGAGAATGGCTGCAAGGACACTGGGTCAACAGCTGGAATCCTGCAGTCCTGTGAGGCTCACGTACCGCATACAGGAGCTTGCCTGCTGGCCCAGTGTCATGGCAGCCATTCTGCAGCTGCCAAAGGCCCAGATGGGCTCTGCTGCACTGAGAAAGGCCTGAACAGCAGCTTTGGAGAGCCTTCAGAGGGGCAATGCTGCCCCAGTAAGTCCTAGGTCCTTCCTTTTTCTGTTATGAACATTTAAAGGGCCATAAGAGGTAGACCTAGCCTCTGGAAGCCAGGAGACAATCAGCTGCTTGAGAGGCCTCATCCCTTTAAAATTTAAAGAGATGAGACACTGCCTAATGGCTGGTTTGCTGGGGCTAGCTTGCTCTCTCTCCCCCTCTCCTGTCCCAGGGGGAATACACCCACATTTTGTTCTAGAAACACTTAACACTAGTCTTCCCAAGTCTGCAATGGTTTTACAATATTTGGAGCATTGTGCAGTCCTCCAGTGACCTTAAAGTAATTTATGAAGTAGACAGCTAAGTATCCATAAAATATAACAGCTAAACTATGATCAAGAATAATAGCAATTTGGGTTGAGGTACAATGTCTCCACTCATGGGCCTGCTTCTCTGTTACCACCATTTAGATCATAATTAGATAGCTTTCTAGGCTTTCCTTTTTTAAAAACCATGGAGTCGCATGGGATGGAGAGGGAAAGAAATGTGAAGCTTGAGGCAAAGTGTCCCAGGGATCACCGGAAATGGTACAGTCTAGGGCTTCTAAGTCTCAAAGAGGCACAATTGTCACTGCTAAAGTTCTACTGACCCCCAACACCAGGTGTGCTAATAAAATCAGAACGTAAAAATTCAAAATTCAATATATATTGGCTGTCAGATACTGTATGTATAGTTAATTTAAACTTACGCAAACCCTTATAATGAGTCTACTGTGATCACCTACAAAAGACACTTGGCATTATCGTTCCCCCCTCCCATACATAGCTATATCTTGTTCAAGAGCTACATTCCAGGCTAAACTAGTCCAAAACACTTCCTTTACCTCTTTAATTGGGCTTTCATTCCTGAGAAAGACGTTCCTGGAGTTCTTTTTGCAGCTCTTTCCGAGTCCCCAGGGACTGCTGGACTCTGAGGAAATCTGAGAGCTCTTTTAGGCCAGCATCATTGAAATACTTGGCAAAATGCTCCACATTCTGTCGGTTGGCTGGAAACAGTTCCTGGAACAAAGACGTTTCCTTTTTGAACAATTAAGTAATTTACAGAGTCATTTATGACCTGGGCATGGAGGAATACTACACAGAATATTTATTTACATCATTTATAGTCTACCATTCTCACTGAGACTGAAGGAGTACATAAGGATATTAAAGCAGGAATTTCATTTCCCTGACTATCAGTGTTTTTACAGGGAAGACAGTAGCCCATAGCTTATAGGGTGCTGAACTTGGGGGTTCAGAAAAACTGAATGGTCTGGAGGATATCCAAAATGAGTTTCTCTTTTAAATCTTCCCTAATATGTTCTACCTCTGATTCTGCTGGCTGTCAGGGCGGTTTTCAAAGGTACGTGATACCACGAAAACTGATATTCAACACAGATTATGATTGTTTCATAGCACTCTGTCTAGTTTAATGATGTTGGTACCCAGGGATCTATACCTACTCTTAGGTCAATACTAACATCTGCCATCTTAAGCATGGGACTCACCAGGAGTCGACACTCATGGTCTAATAAGGTAGAAATGACAGGCATTTCTGAGTTCACAATCCCCCTGACCACTGGTGGTATATGATAACCTCCAGGCTACATAACAAGGAGGGGAGGTGGAACAAGCATTTCTGGGATGAACAACAGCAGGCAGCAGTAATTGACCCCACGAATGCAGCAGAGGGATGGCTGCCTGGGGAAGTGCTGAGCAAAATTATTATAGTCTCAAGTGACCAATACTAATTGCTTAACCTCCCAGGTGACTGGGTCTGACTGCAACATCTGAGCTCTGCCTCTTTCCCAGGCTAACCCCATGCAGAGCTTGAACTGGAAACATGAGGTATGCCAAGCCTATGCAGATCCACACTGCTATGCCTTTCTCCACAGCCCCCCCTCCTCTGCAATATATGGCTGGTTTCGACACAAGGGCTAATGGAAAATTCCAACTACCCGTCATCTGTTTCCCCCCCCCTGTGTGCCCAATTAGGTGTGCAGGCAGATGCAGGGTGAAAGGTATAGGTTTTGGTGTTGTCTCTCACATCTATTATGCTGCTGATTGGCTCGTCGCATTAGTTAAAAAAAAAAGTAAGCTTCGTCTTATTTTGATCTTCCCCACTGGTGGGACTGAGATCCCTCATTTGTGTTTCCCATTATGACTGCCTTTTCCCAATGGGTTCCTGGGGAAATGACAGGGGTGTCTTCTGAGTATGTCCAGCTGTTTGTCCCCTTGTTTTTGTCCAAGCTTGCTCCTTACAATATTCTCCTTTCCCCAGACCCAAACCCTTGCCTGGAAGAACAGTCTTTCTATTATAGTTCTCCTCTGCCTGGTTAAACTCTGGAGGTATCTAGGTGATATGATTGGAGCAGCCATGATTACCTTCCTTGTGTGTCCACCTGCCCAATGGGTATGCATTTGCAGAAGGGAAATTGAATCCTCATTTGCTGAGCTCTCAGGAGTGTGATAGTTATAGGGCTGCTACAGTCCTCCATACAGAAGTGGATGCTGCACTACCTTTGATCTTCCCTTGTTGTGCTGTGTAGGTGGATGGGGCAGGGGTGAAGTTAAGAGACCTGCCAGCATCACCATGTTGGTTGGCTATTTACATGAAGGACTGCCATGGGGGTGTCACAGCATTGCCCTGCTAATTCTTTCTGCTACCACTAACTTGGCAGGAAAGAAATGGGGGCTAAACCATAGAGTTTTTGTGGAATGATAGAGGATTGCCCCTACACAATGACATCATTTCTGGTCTGCCTCAATGTGTTGCTGGAAAGCCCCCTCCCCCAGTGAGTCTACAGCCATTTGGGCTGGAAACCTTATCATTTATTTTATTTCTTCAAATTTATACACATGCTGCTCCATGATTGATGGCTGTGGGTGGTGTTGCTATGATCCCAGCCCCTTGAAGCTGGGTATCTGTCATTTCTTGGCTCTGCTGAGAGAGCATAAGATGGTGACCAGGTACACTGGTGCCATGCCAATATCAATAGTGTCCTGGTGCCTGGAATTTAGGATTCAAATGTCAAAGTATTCCTCAGATTTTAGCAGGAGTCAGGTTGAATGCAGTGGTGGGAACTTTGCACTCATTTCACACTGCTTACTAGGCAAACATTACAGCCTTTAAAAAAGAAAATACTTACTAGCAACCTCTTGTCTAAGTTAGCTTTCCTTAAAGAGGAGGTAACTGAATTGGCATCTTTCTCTAGCATCCATGCTTTAAAAAGTTTTACGGCAAACGAGGCGGCAATACCTGTAGAGAAAACGGTGAATTAAAAACAAAGTAAGCTGCAGTAAAAGTGTGCACTTTCAATGTATAGCCAATGGGAAGAATCTTACAAAAATAAACCTGAAAGCAATAAAATGAACTGTACATTGACGCAGACTAAAGTTGTTGACATTACAGGCTGCTTTGCATATTAAGACATTGCAGACCTAAGGAGTGTAAACCTACTAAAACCCTGGTTATCTGAAGCACATGTAAAAGAGGAATACGGGCCAAAGCAGGTAGGAAAGCTAATTATACTCCCACACATTATGTTTCTAAGGTATATGCAAGTTCAAAACAAACAAAAAGCCAGTCTGCAATGGCTATACTTTTCACAGATACCTATTAGAGACCTGTATTTTGTATCTGTTTGAAGTATTCAACATGGCTCTCTACAGCTACATAGAGGCACCCAGATATGTGAAGGTAATAGGGAAATCCAGATGTTTGCATTTGCAGAAATAGGTATAAATATTTGGATGACCAAATCTCTTATTCTACAAAACCACAGCGAGAGCAAAAGAACAGGACTTAGATGCAGGAACCAGGCAGCTGAGTTGCCATGGTAATCATCTGTTGAGAATGATTAAAATATACCTTGCTATTCTATTCTTAGCATCTCTCCTATATGGCTGAGGCAGGAAGCTCAACACAATGGTATACTAAGGTCTTAAGAATCCTCCCCTTTGCCCCATCGAGGATTTCTCATTTAGAGTAATAACGCCCTGCCATTATAGTCTGAGATGCATTCCCCATTAAAGCGGAGGCTCTCTGCATACATGCAGAAATCAGTGGGATGCATTTCCAGTAAACCTGCTTAGAAACAAGGTGAAAGGGTCAAATCAGATTTGATGTAGGATTAGAATCTCTGGATGTATTGGGATTTATTTATTTATTTATTTTATAAAAAGCTCATTTGCAGCTCTACATGGCTCTTTTGAAGATTAGGGATATGGGAGGGGGTCCTCCCTTTCCTTCTGTGCTATTCTCCCAGTTTAAATTGCTCCCTGAAGCTGCAGTTAGTTCTGTGGGGATGGGAGGAGCAAGCCAGTAAAGTACAATAAATGTGCAGGAAACACATGCCCTCATGTTTTGCTACTGGACTCCAGGAGTGCTCAAAGGTTGCCTGTGTCCCACAGCAAGCAGATGGGTTGAATGGGAGGCTCAGCTGGGAGCAACATCTCTTTCTGAAGAGCACCAGCATCCACTGCTTTTATGGCATTTGTTTTCCTTTCAAACCCTGTTCAAACTAAGACACTTAAGAATAGGTCTAATGCTCTCCCTTCTGTTCCTCTGCTGACAAGACTCCTCTTCCCTCTAGCCAAAGCACCATAAAAAAGGAAAATCTTAAAGGCATTGCACGGGGAGGGGGGAGGGGATTACCTTCTTTGACAATGTTGTCAGTGAAAAGGCTTGTTAAAATAGTAGCAGGAAGTGTTCCATTGGCTAACAAGATACCAGTGAGCATTGCCAACTTTGTCTGCTCTGTTTCAGAAAAGGCTTTAAGGAATAACAGGAGCTGAAAGGTAAGGGGTGGGGGGGGGGAAGAAAAGACACCTTTGAGTACTCAGACTTTAAACCCACCTGACCCAACCCAATCTTCACAAGCCAACATGAAATGCCAGATCCACTGATGGGACTGGCAATCCCACAAACACCAGCTCAGGGATAGCAAAGCCTCATCCAAGGGTTACATGGTCATAGCCATCCTGGTGGAGTGGTCAGTGACTCAGACTAGGATCTGGGAGACCCAGGTTCAGATCCCCTGCTCTGCCTTGAAGCTTGCTGGGTGACCCTGGTTTGTCCAAGAAACTATGACTGAACTCCTTGACAGAAGGTTTGAATAAAAATGCACTAAATTAATAAACAATATGCATGAACAGACACAGCTGCCTTGCAAAGAAAATTTCCACTTCTCTGAAACAAAGGACTTGAAAATAGATTGGAAGTTTATCAGAAGATGTTATTTATTGGATATGCTTGATCTACAAAGGAAAGCATACTGAGCAAGGGGAAAGAAGCAAAATGACATCTGAAGATCCAGTCTTAGGAAAGGGGTCTGGACTCTCTGAAAGGAACCATAAAGGTCATAATGACAAATTGGTTATCAGTCTTCAAATGAAGAAAATGCAGCCATAAAAAGAACATTTTCCCCTTCTGCACTGAAGAAAAAGGTAAATGTTAATGGGTATGTAATTCAATGGGCTGGATTCAAGGACCTCTTCCATGAATAGGAAGACCCATTGTGGACTCAATAGTATTTGCTTCCCAGCAGATGAACTATTTAGAAATGGTGAGAAAAACTCCATCTCTGGAATGTTTGATAGGAGCATTATGTATCTACCAAAGATAAATGTAGTATAGGATTTATTACTTTCTGGTCAAGGATATCAATACATAATAAAAACCAGTTCAAAGGTTTCAGTCATATACTATCACCATGAAATATACATATACATACCCATGAAACTGAATCCATAGCAGAGAAATACAGATACAGGAATGGGACTATGTGGCTAAATGTTCACCTTCAGCATTTGTTCCAGACCTGCCAGAGACCCAAGAGCACTTCCAATCCAGATGTGTGAGAGAATTTCCCCCGGCACCTGAATAGCTGCCACCTACCTCAACTGTGTGTGGTTGCACTGCACAGTTTTCAAAGGCTCTAGTAATATGTTCTTGGCTTTCTTCCTCTTCCCTCACAGTCTGTCATGGTGATGGGAATTTCACTTATTTTATAACTTCATCAGTGGACATGTAGACATCATTGGATATTATGCTACTGTAATCATTCACCTCCTGAATTCTGTCTGGATAGGGAAATTCAAGGGTGTATAATTACATTAGTGCAATATCCAATGATGCCTACTTCAGAATCTTTCTCAGGCTAAAACATAAAAGATGAGGCAAACTCATACTGTATCCGGGTGTGCTAACGCCATAAGATCTGGAATGCAGGCAATCCCATGAAGAGTTTTCAGGTAGGATGTAATGGGAAGGAGCCTGCCGTACTCTGAAATGATGAGTGTTTTTTGTGTTTTGGAAGAGGGAGGCAGCTGAGTGCCATCAGCAAAACACAAAGTTTTCCTCTCTGTTGCAGTTCTCAAAGCATTCAAGAGCACACTAACCACATTGTTTTATAGCCTTTTACATACCCGGGGTGTGTGTGTCACATTTTGCAATAAAAGTGTGCCAGTCTGAATGTGCAAGTTCACCATTACTAAAGATCTCATAAAATGCAATACATAAACATCATTTCTGGTTTCACAATTTGATTTAGCCCTTCAAGATAGGATGCTATCACTTCCTGCACCTTTTTTCCTTCTCACCCCCAGAAGTATGAGAGATAATAATCCCCATTTGAGTCGAACAGCATTAAACAGTAATACTTAATAGAGGTCAGGTACTATGTCATCCTCCTTGCCTTTGATGACTTGTGAATTGTAAACAACATCTGAGTTTTTAGCATCAGAACACACTGGGACTTCTTTGTATTTACGTCAGATCATTTTCATTTTGTTCAAAAGATATTATTTTGTTCCTTCCTCAATTGTTAGGCATAACCCAAATTAGCTTCTAGGAGAAATTTCCAATTCTAATTCACCCACTTAGGACCTATCAGAAATGAACACGACGTTCAGTTCCAAGTTCTTATTACCACCAACTGGTGACACTGATTGCTTTCTAAGTTCTTCCCTTCCTATCTCTATTGTAATTTCAGTTACCAGCTCTGCAGGGGAGATCCTGGAACACTGAACTAATTCAGACTTCCAGCCTCCCACCCATCAAGGACCAATTTATCTGCCATTAGATAATCACTAGGATAGCTACTAGGATGTACTACGAACACAAAACTGCTTTCAGGAAAAGCAACATGTTTGGTTCTTGCTTCAGTGCCACATTCCTGAAATGTTTGAACACCTAGTTTTTTTGCAACAGGAGTTCCAAGTAGTGACACATCTCCATGTCTAACACTATATTTGTTTCATTAAAGCACAAAGCATGAGTGGAAGTTTCTGGTCCTTTTCTAACATTACAAAAAGTACAAAACTGACAGCTGTGACTTCATAACAACTCCATGAGCCTTAGAAATGTTTAACCTCTCTCTCTCTATGTCCTGGGAAGAGTATTACGATCTGGAAATAAAAACCTTCTGGTGGTCCCAGGCCTGAGAGAGATCCAGCTGTCCTCGACCAGAGCCAGGGCCTTTTCAGCCCCGGCTCTCTGCCTGACGACATCCGCTGAGTTCCTAAAGTTTTTATTGCCCAAACATGGTAGCAGGTGGGAACCAGTACTAGCACTAGATCAGAGTCAGCTTGATGAACATATTGTGATGGTTACAGTATCAGACTAGGACCTAGGAAACCCAGGTCTGAATCCCCACTCTGCCATGGAAGCTCACTGTTGACCTTGGGCCAGTCACTCTTTCAGCCTTACTTATCTCACCGGGTGGTTGTTGTGAGGAGGGGAGAACAGTGTCATAAGCTGCTCTGTTTCTTCATTAGGGGGAAAGCATGGTATAAGTATATAAATGAATAAATACTTATCTTAAAACACTGAAAAATTGTGGAAATTGGGGGGGGGGGCAGAGGAGATACCTCTGCTGGAATCTCCCAAGAGGAAAAAATATATATCAACACATACTAGAGGCCACATGCCCTGCTCCAAAACATTATTTAATATTTATTCTGTGGTGAGCCTTCACAGACAATAACCACCACATGTATGAAACTTGGTAGTGACAGTCTTATATCCCCAATGACATGAGCTGTAGCAAATTAGAGAGAACCAAGACAAAACACACACCTTAATTGGCCTGTTCCACGTAAACCACATAATTAAACAGTGGCAAAAGAATATCCTTCATCTATGTGATGAGGCTGGCCCAGTGGAAAAAGTGTTTGGCACACTTATTTCTCTCTCTCTCAGTGGATTATATTATGGTAAAACCTGGGCTGATGGTGTATGGAATGCAATGGATGCTGTATATGTACATACTTTAGTACAGAACACTCATAATACTACTGTGGATTTAAGACAGGTGGTACCATTTACCACTTGGATACAAAGAGAATTAGAAAAGACTATTTTTTTCATATTGCATACCGGAGCATGCTGTGCTTGGTTAAGCCATCTCAAGCTTCCCACTATGTACTCTGAAGAGCAAGAGCATTTCTTTCTTGGCACCGGCTAAACATTAGCCAATTACATAGAAGAACATACAAACGGAGGCCTATCAGGGATTTCTGAAGGAGGAATTGCAGAGCTTTATAGAGCTTTTGAAGTAATGCCTGCTATCCATAAGGTGCTGCAGATCTCTCCTCCAAAAACATATCAGTCATTTTATCATAGGCAAAGTAAACTTATGTTAACACATACCTGGCTGGTGCTTGAAAGAGCATGGGAGTCTTGCAATTTTCCTGCAGTTAATAACTTTTGCCATTAGATGCTGCCATAGCCCCTTAAAGCAAAGAGTCAAAGCCTGAGAGCCTTTTAATGTCTCAGGCAGGATGCACGGTGGGTGGCATCACTCTCTGATCAGTAGAGCAGCAATGTTCAATCAATTAATGACAAGGGTAATAATATTTTGGATCAAAATGTCTCTGATTTTTTTAAAAAATATTCATTTTAAAATGGCACCTGGGTAAGATCAGCAGCTGTCCAGACCCAAGCGTCCTCTGTTGTGTCTCCCACTTTATGGAATGGCCTGCTAAAGGAAGTCAAGAAGGCTCCCACAACTGGATCACTCCACAGAATGTGTAAATGAGAACTGTTCAGTGAGACATTTTTATACAGGGAAGAGGGTTGTAGTGAAATAGAATTCTTCAGGAGAATGCTTGTACAAAGGGACAAGGGCTGTAGTTTATGACACTGTTTAGTGTATGCAGTATCTTGCTGTATTTTTTTCTAATTTCTGTTATCCAGTTTTTGCATTTCATATATACCATGTCAAGAAGAAGAACGAGGAGGAGAAGGAGGAGGAGATTGGATTTATACCCCGCCCTTCACTCGGAGTCTCAGAGAAGCTTACAATCTCCTTTCCCCTCCCCTCCCCTCCCCACAACAGATACGCTGTGAGGTAGGTAAGGCTGAGAGAGCTCTTTCAAGAACTGCTCTTTCAAGAACAGCTCTGACAGACCTATGGCTTGCCCAAGGTCATCCACCAGCTGCAAGTGGAGGAGTGGAGAATCAATCCCGGTTCTCCCAGATTAGAGTCCATGCACATAACCGCTACACCAAACTGGCTCTTATACTGTTTTATTGCATTGTTTTCTAATTTTAAAATCCAGTCTTCTTACCCTGTTTATTGTATGTGTTATACTCTTCCTGCTGCATTGTTTTAAATTTTATAATTCACCTTGATCCTCTGTGAGATAGGCAGACTATAAAGTAAATAAATGAGGTACTCATAAATGAATGGATGGCTTGTATTTATTTGAAGAGGCATTCTTCCTCTTCCCCCATGTAGAAGGGAAGGCCTTTTCTGAAATGGATTATGCTGTAAGTACAATCTGTATC